AATAGAATTCTTTTATTTAAAATTATTCCTTTCCCGCACTGAAACCGAGTATTTTAATACTCCCGGGCGAAAGAACTACAGTAAGTAAAGTTTTAAATAAATAAAAATAACATCCACTAGATGGAAGCATAACACCAAAACAAGAAAAAAATTTACTTAACTCAAGAATATATTTTATCTTCAGTTGAATATACTTAGATCAAGTAAATATTACTTGACTCAAGATGACTTTTTTTCTGTGTAGCTCCTGTAGACTTCAAATTTGGTAGGAATCTTCTGTAAGAGGTGTAGAAATAGTCTATGAACGAATTTTACGATAGCTCACCCCACAAGGGGTTGCGGGCGTGAGTATTTACAATTAAAATTTTTAATTTCCCAGCTAAAGCTCCTACAGGCTCCAAATTTTGTAGGAATTTTCTATAAGTGATGTAAAAATGATTTATGAACGAATTTTACGATATTCCACCCCAAAAAAAAATCGCGGGGGCGTTAACAATGAAAATTTTCAATATCCAAGCTATAGCTCCTATAGACTCCAAATTCAGTGAGAGTCTTCTATATGTAATATAAAAATTTATTTATTTATTTAAATTTCAATGACAAAGCAAAAGCCAAATGGCTAAATACAAAAAAAAAGATAAAAAAGAAATATGATTTAAAGTACATGTAAAACCATAAACATAGTCAATTTCAAATTAAAGATTTGACACAATATAACAGTATAAGAAAAAAAAGAAAAAATATAAAAATATAAATAATCATAGATCAGAGCAGTATAGTTTTTGTATTGTAAATATCAATATATAATGTAAATTATTTTAAGAAATAGAATTAGCAGACTTTGATCCCTAGGCCTCCCTGAGTTCAAGCTCATAGAAGAATTCAAAGGCTTTTGATTTAAATGCCTCTATGCTGAGTGAGTTTATGACATCTGGTGGAATTTCACGCCAAAGGCGTATTGATGAGATTAAAAAGGAGTGTTCGTATACTGATGTCGAGAAATTTGGAAAGCAGAAAGAGACATTGTTGTACTTTGAAGCCAACCTTTCCGAGCGTCTGATCTAAGAGCGGATTTTACAATGAATTACATCCAATAAGGTTTGCGGGGGTGGGTGTTAACAATAAAAAATTTTAATTTCGAAATATAGCTTCTAAAAATTCTAAATATGGTAGGAATCTTTTATTATTCATGTAAAGATCATCTTAAAATGGATTTCAATAAAGTCTCCGTCCGACAGGAATTGTGGGGGTGGGTGTTAAAATCTAAAATTTCAATTTCCAACCTGTAACTTCAACAGACTCCGAATTTGGTGGGGATCTTCGTGTATGTGAGGATATTCGTGTATTTCCTTACAACAATCGTGTCTTTGGCAGCGGAGAAAAAGTCATTGAGAGGTTTCCAAAACTTAACTTTACATGTAGCTATCCAATCAACGGACTAAGAATTTTACATTTATTACGCGCCTTATAAGCGAAGCGTTGAGGTTGTGCTCTACTCTCGACATTTCGAAAAAAGCAGTTTTGTCGAAACTGAAATTAATTTTTTGTTATTTATATCGCATTTACAGGTTAATAAGAGTACACTTATATCAAGTCAAATAATTTTTCAGGCACATAAAATATATTTCAATAAAAATTTTTTTGTTTAACATAATAAATAATAACATTAAACATAATCTTTTTTGGACGTTCGTGTATGAATGGGTGTATGTGGCAGGGAAATTGGTCGAAAAAATGATCATACCGGAATAATTTTTTTTTAATTATCTAAAGTAACACACGACAGAATTTCTTAGTTAATATGAGCGTTCAATTCACTGTCGTTAAATTATTATTTATAAAAAACTAATGTATGACTGTGGATTTTTTTTGTATATCTATCTATACATTTTATTATAGTATTTTTTTTATCACCTTGGAGTTATGGCGCCACTAAACCATAGCAGTGTTTTCTGTTTTTTATTATTTTGCTTTCTATATTTTATTTTAAAAAATGAGATTATGAGGCGTGCACTTTTGGATTTTCCAAACTTTTTTACTTTTACAGATCACATAAACGATGAATTCTTTTATTGTGGGATCGCTGAAATGTAACAGATTAAAATGAATGCATTTTCCAAGCACTTGAGATGTGGAAAAGAAATATAGTTACTTATTTCAATAGAATTCATAAAAAACATGAACAATTAATTTTCTATAAAAAATTGATGTCACGGAAAAAATTTTAGATAACAGAAAATTCGTCACACTTGAACTTAGACAGATTTCAACTTCACATATGAGACTTGCAATGACTTTAACTAAAACTCAATGCTCATTTCAAATTTTTTCTTCGTGTCAATTACTATTAATTATTGGTAGAAAGCCACGGAAATGTTATAATAATTGCACATTGAACGTTACAATGAATATTAGCTAGAAAAATCAGAAAAATCACATGGATGAAAGATACAGGCTAATTCGATGGAATTTGGAATTTATGCAAGTCTAAACAATATCGATGCTTACAGTTCTATCCGCGGGGCGTATTTATGTTCGTACAAAAATAAAAAAAAAAGGAGAATAAAAATATGCAAAAAAAAAAAATAAAAATGAAACATAAAATTTAATTTATTTCCTTTTTCAATTCGCCCAGCGAAGCGGGCGGGAAACGGCTAGTGTTTCTATATAAAATCTCAAAAAAATTAGAATTTCGTTATTTTAATACTTATATTTTAATTACTTTCAAAAAAGTGAAACGACTTTTTTATTTTTTTACAATAAAAAAAAAGTTTTTTTTTTAACTTACCAGTGTATTCATTTTAATGACTAAAGCAATTATTTTTATTTCCCGACGCAATTTCGATGAGCAGTAACATTTTTTTTATAAAATATTTTCGATTTATCCATTAATGTATTGTGACTTTAAGTTATAAATAAAAGTTATCTTCTTTCATTAGCATAAAAAATAAATAAAATTGGTATCAGCTGATTGAGTTACCGACTGATCTATGAATATCAAAATAATGATAGCAGCGCTGCGCGCGATGAGTGACGTCATTAAGAAAGTTTAAAATTTTATGATTGTATTTTAGTTTAAGAGATAAGTACAAGTTCGGAAATTTAAATTATAAAAATATGTATTACCTTCACGCAATATTAAATTCAAAATAATTATCGTAAAAAAATTGAATTAACAATCAACTTTTTCCTGTTAAATATTTTCAATTTTTAGGGGAGATTTTTTTTGTTCCATTAACTTATAAACAGCATTGGTAAATATTTGACTGTAACTTTAATAATAATGAATGAAAACTGAAATTACGACAATTATAATGTCATTCTCCGATTTGATGATAATATTATATAAATAAATATAAATGTTAAATCTTCAAATAATTTCAGTATCATATGAAAAAAAAGAAATATAAATAATCGTGTTTAAAAACACATAGTTTTTCAGAAATTCTATTAAAATAATGAGTACGATAACTTTATTTACTTTAAATAACATCTTGATAATTAAAAATTTTTTTTTATTTTATAATTTAATCAAAATTAAAGTCGATCTTTACAAACATTTTACGATTAACGCAGATTTTCGCTGGTTCATATCAATTAACTTGCTCAATATTTATCTTAATTGATATGCATATCCATGTCTTTGTAAATCTATTATCTCTCATTATTTTAACTTATACTCATTTACCAAATTTTTTTTTTAGTTTAATTACAATCACTAGATTTATTCATTTAATTTATTAAAATTAATACTTATAGGCGAGAACATAAAAACATATTAACGTATACATTACATACCATGCTTAGATGAACGAAGAGCCAGTCCATTAATCCTTTTGGATAACTCAGCACTTGCACGCTCAACAACTCCTTGAGCCGATATCGATGACATATCTTCACTTTATTTTTTTACGTTTGAATGCTAATAAAGCTTTCGTTAATTAGCACAAAAGATCATATAACGTTGTATTATCCTTAGCTTTTTGTTGTTGTGCAATATCTAATACGAGTATACATATTTTTTCCTTATTCTTTCAATGTATTTAATTTATCACTTCACAAAGCTTGAAACAAATACAAATATTTTTCTAAGAATTTTTATTGCATTTAAAAACAATGTTTCTCTTGATATATTTTAAAGATTATTTTTTATTGATGGAATCACTGAGCCCTCGAGGGTATGTAGATTTTTAAATACATAGAGAATAAATAAAACTTAATTTCATATTTGTTAATCGTTTTTCAAATTGTATCCTATTTTAAAATAACTAGACACTTAAAGTAAAGTAAATCAATACTGTCAGATTCACAGACTCGTAGCATAAAGGTGTCTTGCTTGTTATTCTCGATAAATTTTCACATGATTATTTTTTATGACGATTAACAAACATCGATTACTCGTCATATTTGTATACCTTTTTCTATATTTAAAGTATATTCTTTATCTTTAAAAAAACTATTAAATTATTATAAATAAATAAGTTCATGTTAAAAAAATAATTATTAAAGCATTACTATTACAAACAACATTAGAGAAATACAGACGTTAAATTTTGTTTATGGACACACTAAGTAACAAATATCAACATGGTTGTATTGTCCACTTTATACTAAATCGATACTTTTCGCTTCGTCGTATTTGTCTCATAACCCCTCTCCCCGATCATAATAACGAAACAAATATAAGCGCCTGCGTCAACTTTTGATTCACTAGTATTTCAATATATTTAAAAATTTTTTTTAATAATCCCGCCATCTCATACAAACTTTTAGCTGATTCTGAACTTTCAAGAAGACAAATGCCCACTTTGATTATCTCAATAAGTAGTGTTGATTGATAGATTATTTTATATTATAAAAAAATATGATTATCGTTTGTTTTGAATAAGGAATTTTTAAAAATAAAAATTGAAAGGTTATTTTTACTTTTCATCTTGTATTTATTTCAATAATAATATATCGTTGTAAATGATGTACAATCATGTAAAAAACTTAACAAATTAAATAATCTTCAAACCAGCCATGGCGTTTTCGAGGACCTGTAATCAAATATTATTAATATGTTTTTTAGTTATTGTTACTTTATTTGTGTTTCAATTATAATGAACTGAATTGGAAAAAGAAATCTGACTTTGAAGGTCAGCCAAAATTTTTTGCTATTTCTGAACTCGAAAATTTTTTTTACTATTTTCTTAGCAAATTTTTTATTATTTTTTACGAGATCTCTAATTTTAAGGAATTGTGTACTTTTGTTAGAATTTATCAATTAAGAAAATCGGACTGATAACGAAAATGTTTCATAAAAGTTTTCTGATTCTTCCATTGGTAATCGCAATTAAAATAAAATTTATTAAGATTTTTTAATTTTAAACTTGTTTTGAGCAGTAAAGTTATTTTAAAATGATTTTATTTTTAATGAAAGAAAAAAATCTTAAAAACGAAAAATAAAATTTTATGTTTTCAAATTTTCAATCGTGAAATCACATAGACTAGTATAATTACTGATACTTTACTTCTCACAAAAATTAAAGGAGCAAAAACAATTTCGTAATTTTTCGATGATTTTTAAAAAGCTGTATTTAAGGTAGTACACCACAAAATATGAATTACAAAGACTTTTTTGATTTACATAGTAAATTTACCTGCATAACCTAACATTTGAGAAGAAGAGATAGAGACCGATAATTTTTCATTAATTATTACTATCACATGCTTTGAATCTGTACTTTTAATTATGCAAAATATTCTATGTGTTATTTCTCTTTGTTACACAAATTTTGATTGAAATCTGAACGGTGCTTTTTTGTTACATCAGTGATCCCTCATAAGGATTAATGGTAATGACAAATTTTTTTTATGTTAATATCTTTTTTCTGGTTTTCTGCAACTCTTTAAGAATTTAACTGGTTATATTATCTGATTATAATATACTAAGGTAAAATACCTAGTACTTGAACAGATTTTTGAATTAAATATTAATACAAAATTGTGATACTTATTATAAGCAACATCCGTATTTTAACATCATTTGTTGACTTTTTAAAATTCTAAATTGATATAATTATATTTTGATTAATTTTGATAAATTGAGAATAGCCGATAGATGCTACTTTTACCATGAAAATGGTATTAAACCTTAAAACTTTCAATCAGTAAAAAAAAAACGGCATATGATCATTTTAACCCTTTCCCGGTCGACCTTGAATCCCTACTCTCAATTTGAATCGTACGTCTTATTCTTAAAATGAGAGAGCTATAGTCTATTTTTTAGAGAGGGGGCCGGAAAAACGGTAAAAGGGGACGCTTCTCTACACTACCACTACTGAACTTTCACTCATACAGCCTTACAACGGACTTTGATTAGCTCTATCCCCACTTAACTTACATCTAGACTCACCGATACTCTGAGTCGGGAAGGGTTAAGTAATAAAAAGCACCATTCGGCTCCACCCGAGATTGAAGGTAGATTTCAATTTTTTGTCATCACGATTTTTATGATTTTTGTAATTTAAATAATTTTCGTGTGGCTACCATTCCTAAACTAATCGACTAATTTTATCCATCTTTGAACTCAATCAACGTAATCGTCTAAAGAATATGTGTGACAAATTTCATCTAGGTCCGTCAAGAACTATAGACACAATCGCGGCAACATCCCGCGTTATATATATATATATATATATATATATATATATATATATA